CAATCGCTGGTCTGTCTGTTGTGTCGTTATTTCTCAAGAACTGATGATGTTGGACTTGATGAGATGTGACCCCTGAAAAGCCATCAATCAATACCGTAGGGATGTAGTAAGCTTTCCCCGCACTCCACTAATTTCAGGTACAAGGTTAAATAAAACATGGAATGAAATGTTCAAGCTTTACATTACATTACCTAAACTCAAAAAGGTCAATCAACAACACATGCCATATTTTTGCTAATCCGATGAAGGATACCAATATTTAAGATGTCGCCAACTCCAATACTACCTCTGCCGAAAGCAATCCTTCCTCCTTCAAAGGCAATTTTACCTACAGATGCAAAAACACGATTAAAGAAAGCCGAGAATGCTAGAAAACGTTTGGTAGCTGGTCGCACGGTGAGGGAGGATTCGGATGAAGACGAGGACTCGGACGAAGAGGCTGAATGGCAATGGATATACGACGACGAGAATTCCGAAGAAACTGCTTCGCCCTCGCAGAACAATGCTAAAGGAGGCGAAAGTTCATCAGCTAAGAGAACGCGTCGACTCTCGAAAGGTACAGGAGCTAGGAGGATTGTCGGTGCCAGGGCTGGAAAGACGGTCTGCAGGATTGCAGATTGTGTTTTAATAAATAATGATACTTCGAATACAAATTGGGTTGGAATTATCTCAGGATTTGAAGAAGATGAGGGCTATGACGAGAATGCCGAATCATACCATGATATAATGAAAGCCAATATCTGGTGGTTCTGTAGCCCAAATGATATTCACAATAAATCGAAGAAGCGATCTGATTTTCTAGAAGTAAGTAGATCCAGTGCTTGCATCTTGCTTCTTGCGGCTAACAACTATAGAATGAGCTCTACATATCTTCTGATCTCGATACAATTTCACTGGCGACCATCAATGGCGTAGCTACGATCCTATCCGAAGAAGCATTCAAAGTCAAATTCCCAACAGGGAAAATACCTAGAAATCGAAAAGAAAATGGGAAAACGTTTATATGTCGCCGAGGATTACACAGCAAATCTGTCACATATACAGCTGAATTCGTGTGGGATGATGTATACCATAATACAGAGGAAAGTGTTGAACAATTGATCGAGAAGATCGAAAATAGCGTACCAAGTAATAAGAGAAAGAAGCCTGCCCTTCCTATTCCCAAGAAGAAGAAGAAGAAGCTTGATGATGATGATGACGCAAGCGTGGCATCTGAGCATGATGATGATTATGAAGTAGATGAGGAAATCTTAGCAACACCGAGAAAAAGGCAAAAGACTACCAAAGCTATAACCCCTCGAAAACCACGCACACCCTCCAAGCTACTTACCCCCAGTCACAAACGGTTCGTCATAACAATTGGTCAAAAGCATTCCCAGCTGACAGTATTTGTAGGATTGTCGTTAAGAAGCCTCTAGAATTCACGCCCCTGGGAATGCGTATGCTCTCACCATCAGTTAATGCTTCTCCATTTCAAACAGCTCGATCACGACTTCACGTTTCATCCGTTCCTGATACCCTTCCCTGTCGTGAAGAAGAATTCTCATCGGTATATACACATCTTGCAGCTGCTATTACAGATGGTACTGGCTCATGTATATATATCTCTGGAACTCCGGGAACAGGAAAAACTGCAACGGTACGAGAAGTTGTTGCACAGCTTAATGCATCTGTTTCAGCCGATGAATTAGATCCTTTCATTTTCGTCGAGATCAACGGAATGAAAGTTACAGATCCACATCAATCATATGCATTGTTATGGGAAGCTCTAAAAGGAGACCGTGTGAGTCCAAGTCACGCATTGGATTTATTGGAGAGGGAATTCAGCAAACCATCCCCGAGAAGAGAGCCATGCGTTGTTTTGATGGACGAATTAGACCAACTAGTAACGAAGAACCAAAGCGTCATGTATAATTTTTTCAATTGGCCTGGTCTGAGGCATTCCAAACTGATCGTACTCGCTGTGGCCAATACCATGGATTTACCCGAGCGTACCCTTTCCAACAAAATCTCTTCACGTCTCGGTACGTCGAACTGTCCTTCCATCTTCGTTCAACTGCAGCTGACATTAAATTCTAGGTCTAACCCGTATAACCTTCCCCGGCTATACCCACGAGCAACTCCAAACAATCATAACTTCCCGTCTAACCGACGTTCCCGCCCACCTAATCCACCCCGACGCAATCCAATTCGCTTCTCGCAAAGTCGCCTCCGTATCCGGCGATGCTCGTCGCGCCCTTGATATTTGTCGTCGTGCCGTCGAAATCGCCGAATCGGAATCACTCTCCACTCCGGATACACCTTCTAAAACACCAGGCAAAGAAGAAAAGAGGGGGAAAGGTGTGGTTAGCATAGCGACGGTCAAGAAAGCTATCAATGAAGCGACGACGAGTCCATTACAGCAATATTTGAGGGCATTACCATTGGCGACAAAGATGTTCTTGGCTGCGTTGGTATTGAGATTGAGGAGGGCGGGGACAGGGGAGTGTCTTGTGGGAGAGGTGGTCGATGAGTGTAGGAGGATGGCGAAGCTGGATACAGGGGGCAGTGTAGTGGGGGTTTTGCTCACGGGTACTGGGGCGGCTGGAAGCGTTAATAATGGAGACAGAATCAGAGGCAAACAAGCTGGAAAAGGAGCAAGAGTTCAGGGAATGGGCGAGGCGGCAATGGAATTAATGGAGGCGGGGGTTATAGGAATAGAAGTGAGAAAGGCGGAGAGGATGGGCAAGGTTCGGTTGGGGATTGGAGAAGAAGATGTCAAGGTTGCTTTTAAGGATGATCCGGAGATTAGGGGGTTGGGGTTCGTGGGATAGGGGCAAGGGTAGGAGTAGCGAGAGTTTTGGAAAGGAAAATGTGTTAAGATAGATTGGATTGGGATATGTAGATAGATAGAAAGACGGTTAAATTGATACCCAGCGCTATCACACACAACAAATCAGCATAGCATAGTAATGACAAGAAAGAAGCAATAATCTCAAGATGGAAATTCCCCAAAAATGGGTATCATTCATGTAGCAATGGTATATGTATGCAATAAGTATCTAAACCACTACGCACGCCATTTCATAAAACGCCAAACACGCCCCCAGCTAAACTGCCTAGTCTCATCTAGCTTTCGCCCAAATACCTTTCCGATGCCTTTTTACATTTTCATATTGTACATATGTGTATTTAGAATTTTCGTCGTCCAAGCTCTGGTTTCCATTCGAGGGGGTGGGATTCGGGGGTTGCGAGCTCGTCTTGTTTCCATACTTTTACTATTGGTGAAAGGGGTGGTTAGCATTCATTCCATATGAAAGGGGGTGTAAAGGGTGCTGAGGGTAAGATGTAAGAAGAGAGGAAGGAAAGGAAATAGAGGCACATACTAGTTTTATCCGCCTCTCCCGTGATCAATCTCAACCCCGTCTTATCGAATAAACTCGTGAAAATTCCTGCCTCCGCATCCAAAGAACCCGGTTGGGCGATAGAATCCAGCGCTTGATATCTATGACCCGTTTTCCAATCCCAAAACGCCATCGATCCATTGTCTCCTCCGGAGAACAATACGTTGTCTTCGTTAACGCTGAGTGTATTGATAATAGCATTTTGTCCATCGAAGTTTTGCATAAAGGCTCCCTCGGGACATTTCCATTGTTTGATGCTTCCTGCACTGCCACTTGCAAATGTGAATTCTTTGGGATGGATGGCGAGTGCGCGAACACCTTTTTTGTGGTGGGTAAGGGCTCCCATACTTTTTCCAGCAGCTAAATCCCATAGGCGGACTGTGGAATCAAGGGAGGAAGTGATGACTTGTGGATCGGCTTCTTGGCACTTCAGATCTGATACTGTGCCTTTATGTCCAGATAATACGTGAATGTTACTCCTGGTCCTCATATCCCATACTCGTGCTACACCATCTCTTCCTCCCGTAACCAGTACATCCAGAGTAGGGTGTAAAGCCAAAGTATAAACACCACTCAAATGTCCATGATAATGTCGAATCACTTTGTTGGTTTCCAAATCCCAACACTTAACCATCTTGTCCTCTCCACAACTAAACAAATATGGATGTCGAGGACTAACTGCCAATCCTCTCACAGTCGATATGTGTCCCGTCAATGTAAGTTTCAGTCCTCCAGTCGCCAAATCCCATATCTTAATTGTACGATCTCCAGCTCCAGAAGCAAACCAGCGATTCTCGGGCTCAACAGCCAAAGCACGTACCCATCCCAAATGTCCAGATATCACGCGCATAAGTTTCCATGGAGCATGCCATTCGGGTTTTGCTTGGACGAAATTCTGTTTGCGCACTAAACTGCTAGATGGCAAATTACTCTGCGCAGTAGATATCGAAGGACCGTTCGCGTTAGGTGGTGCATCTTTGCCTCGGATTATAAGACTGGTGCTACTTCCAGCTCCAGAACTCTCAATTCGTGATGGGATTCCTTCGATCATCTTCATGGTATTATTGTCTGCAGCTGAGTCCCCATCTGTAGTTTGTAACTTGGCCTTCTTCCTCCTGTTTCCAGCAGCGGCAGCTTGTTTTGCAGCCAAGGCAGCTGGTAATTCTCGAACATGATCGTATTCGGCGTGGACTCTTCCTACCAATGCTAATTTATCTGCGGTTTCTGTAGATTTTGAATCGGGGATTGATTCTGTATCTGCGAAAAGAGAACGTGTTCGTTTGGCATTTTGTTTTATTAGAGATTTAATTTGATCGTCCGAAGGTAGTGATGCGACTGCGGTTGCCATAATGAATGGAGGTGGTTGATGTTAATAAGTTGCGCGTGTGAGGAGTTGCGATTTGGAAATTTATCGCGATAAAGCTTCAGGAACGTGAGCCACGGACCGTCAAGCCACCGTACTGGCCACCACACTAGCCACTAAGTCGTTTATTGGCTGTCGCTTTGTATTCCAGGCTCCTCCTCCACGCCATCATATGATATCCAAAATAAATTAATACAATATTTCTTCTTTCAATCAATCTTTCATCAAAATCATATTGAATACATTGAAACAAGATGGAAAAGCCTTCAGAAGATAAATACGCCATTCATCAGGCTTGTCGAGATGGTAGAAGTACGATACCCTCTCCTCTCCTCTCACCCTTTGTTACTAATAAGAATCTAGCTGCTATCGTAGAGTCCCTTCTCAATGTAGGAGATCCCCAGACTTTCTACTGTGGAAAACTTGGCTACATGCAAATATGAGTAGTACTCACAAATTGTAGGCCAACCCAAAACTCGCTTTTTTGAAAGATGAGGACGAAAGATTGCCTATTCATTGGGCAGTTTCTTATGGACACTTGGACATTGTCATATTGCTTTCCAATGTGAAGAATTTTGATCCCGATGTACAGGTGTGTATATTCCATATCGTCCCTGTTCAGGCTATGGGCAACGTTGTTGATATAAATTGTAGGATGGATCTGGATGGACACCTCTTATGATCGCTGTCAGCCTTAAAGAAGGTGATGATATTGTGAACTTGTTATTGAAGAAAGAGGCTGAAGTAAATGCCAAGAGTATGTTTCGCCCTTACCGCATTGCGATTCTGTTCAACTGATGCCCATCATTTCTTAGATTTCAGCGACCAAGTATGTCATTCAAACTCTTTTGAACACCTCTACAACCAACCATCTGACTAACATTTAGACCGCTCTCCACTTCGCTACCTCCAAAAACAACCTCCCAGTAGCCAAACTTCTACTATCGCAAACTCCGCCTGCATCCTGTCGAGTTAAGGACAAGCGTGGACAGTATGCAATTCATCGTGCGGCAGCTATTGGATCCACCCCATTAGTTGAGTTATTGTTGAAGAATAAAAGTCCATTAAATTCTACGGATGTCGCAGGACAAACACCACTTCACCATGCTGTTGCTGAAGGTCACGGTACGTTGATTTTGTTCACTTGCCTTCATATATCAGATTGAGAGATATCCCCGATTGGTTTTGATGATTTTGCTACGAATCTTTCAGCTTACTAAAACATACACACAGGTGACACTGCAGTGGCTCTTTTGAAGGCCGGTGCGGAAACAGACAAGAAGGATGTAGATGGTTGTCTTGCGTTGGACCTTGCCCCTGACAGTCAGGTTAGTGATCATTATTCCCTCATATTATGCCGTACCAAGCTCAAGACGTTTAGGTCAAGAAATATATAGTTCAATGGGCCGAGATGGAGGGCATCGATTTATAGCATGCCGCTGGCAGGAAATGAGTATGATTGATAAAAACAATGAAACCCAATTGCATCTCGTCCCCTTCTCACCTAACCTCTATAGATATTTTAGATCCGAATTCCAGATTTAGAGCCTTGGTCAAGCAGTGCCGGGGTTGAATTTGGCGTTGAACATTGGCATTTCCTTGAAATAAATGTTCGTCTAGTCTAATTCATCGCAGCATGTACTTCTGCAATTCATGTGCCATTTCCTCATTTGCAAGCAAGTCGAACGTTTTCACGACTCACTTCCTTGAGCGTACCTCTCAAATGAAGTAGACAGAAGACTGTAGGGCAAATCAAAAGTCTACGTGGCAATGGCAATGTAGTATTACTTGGTTCTTTCTTCTCAACTCAAGTAAAACGTCCTCATCTATGCTGCCTCTCTGTTTATACACATTGGCCAACTTCATATGTACCCAACAGCTGAGTGAGGATGAATCACACCGACGAAGGAATGACAGCTCGGAACCGATAGACTGTGCCCCACTCTTGCAGATCAAGCTTTTAAGTCCCCTATTAATCCGCTCACTCATTGGTTGCATATCGCCACTGTATCCCTGACTGATCAGATTGATAAGATAAAAATTAGTTTGGGAATCGCGTCGTCGTAAGCTGCGTATGCGTACCCGCAACTTTATTTTTATTACTTATTATTGCTTGTTATTGATTGTCTTGGCCCTTGAAATGATAAGTACTTGAGTGTTGTCCGTCCTCCTCTGGTTCTGAATTTATTCTTCATTTTGGTCATTGTTCTTCCTGACTTGAAGGATAGTAGCCGATATGAAATCGAGAATGCTTTCACCGTCTCTAGTTCTTGCTCCGCTATTGCCCCTATTGGTTAGCGCTAGTGCAGTACCTGATCAATCACCACTGTTACTTCAAACATCCAATGGTCCTAGTATAGAACATGCCCGCGCAAATGCACCTGAGATTTTTAACACAATTCATTCGTCAATGCGACAATGGGGATCTTCTCTAAAACATAATGGAATGTCCTTTTTCCCAGCAACAGTACCAGAAGGGACTCTCTTCTACCATGGAACCCACACACCCGAGCAGGTTGAGGGGATGGAATGGTTAGCTTTCGAAATCGAGCATGCGGAAGTATTTGCACGTCCAAGAAGAGGTCGTGGTCCTGGAGGTCCTGGAGGTCCTGGAAATCATGGTCCAGGTAAAGGGAAAGGTCCTGGTGGGAAACCTCCTGGGGGACCGGGAAGAGGTCCTCCTCCGCATGCACTAATGGACAGTCATCCCAGACCCAAATCCAAGCATGAGGATGATGTCCATGACTCAGAAGACAAAGAAGAAGATAGCCATGGCTATCTCCACACCTACCGTACCTCCAAGCCCCTCACTAAACTCATCTACATCGACGGAATGTCCGCCGGAAAAACCAGCATGGGAACCCTTGATTCTACAGATTACATTATTCGCAATCTTTCTGCCACATCAACAGAGCCAAACAATGATTGGATCCGTGCAGCTGATCTTTGTAAGATTGGCGAGGAATATGGCATCGAAGGGTTTCTTCGCATGGAAGCTGGATTTGAAATTATTCTCTGTAGTTTCAAAGATGGGCTTGAGTTTATAGGTGCCTCTCAGAGAGACGACAAATCTGGTGGGTTTGGGAATGGAGAAGATGATGTGGGACATTTTGAATATGTGAGGGCCCTGGAGTATAGGTATCAGGGTATCATGGGGGGAAGAGTAGAAGTCGATTATTCTTCTATGATTTCTGCCTTCTTTTATCCTCTCAACATTACTAACCCCGATCCTTCTCGTTCTGAACTTCCTAGATTAGTCGAACCTTCCGAATCAGGTGATTTGAAGAGAATCCGCTCTGATGTTCTAGATTTGTTCAAATCTGGAGAATACGAGAAGAGAGAAACGATCAACTGGCAAAATGTCGTGGATATGATTGTTACGAGGTATTCTGATCGTCTCAAGTTTATGGTTCAAAATGAGACGTCAGAAGCGGCGTTGTTATCGGAAATCAAAGTGCTGTTGGATGCGCATACAGATTATAAGAAGATTGATATTCCTTCCTCAATTGAGAAATGCGCGAATCACTATCTAAGGCCGGTGACACCGAAAACTGAGGCAGATCATTTCATTCATGCTGCTATTCTCAAGGTGTCTGGTGATATTTGCAGTACTTTGTTTAAAGTCAGAGAGTTAATAGGCAGTGATGGAAAGGGTGCCAAAGAGGAGGAAGGAAAACAATTGATCAGAGAATTGATCAATGAATTAGATTGGACTACTTGGCTGGAATGTGGAAAGTGTGGTTATGATGAGGTATGTTTCGTGGCAATCTGGCCCTGGGGAGGTTTGGAAGATCACGTTTCTCCTGGGTGTATTAAGAGGGGTGATATGGGTGATAGAAGGGGATACTGGGATTGGGGACATTAGCGTCGGGGGTAATTTTGGAGAAGGCTAGATAGTCGTAGAATTTTGATTATTTGACTGAAGAGAGTGGATATATGGGCAGATTTGTATTATAGTGACAAGATTCGGGATGTATACACAATTGAACTGGTATATAATATCTTGCAATTTTACAAAGATCGGAAGATTTCATGCAGTCCCTCGGTCTATTTGGCACACTACTCATTGTTCTCCGGGGTGACCGAGTAGTTTCTCCATGCAGTGAAGCCGCCGAGTTCTCAGTCCTCGCGTGAAAGCTCTCACAAACTCATCTCTCTTTAACAATCTGAACATAATCTTTCTCCCTAGATCATGCGTAGTCATTTGACAAATTTTCGACGAAAGCAGCGGCTCTCGTGTTGCAATAGGTCAATTCGCCGTCCATCCATCTGCAAGATAATATCAGCAGAATCATCGGCAAGTATAATCAATTCACGTCTTCATAGTACTGGGCTATCTGTATGACTTTCCATTTGGCATTTTGTCTGAATATCCTCTCATTTCATCTGACTTCTCTCTCTTGGGTGGGCTTGATCTGTAGTAATCGCGGTTTCAGTCAGCGCTCGAGACCACTTCGAGTGGTCTTGCAATCTTGATTGCTGAAGCAAATTTCTGCATGTGCCTTATATTGCACATGGACAATCACATCTTGATCTGTGGTTCAAACATATTTGCAATCACACCTGGAATAGGTACCTATCGTGTAGTTGCTTCTAAACGAAAGCGAATCCTGGGGATTATGGTAATATTAGGGAAAGTGTTTGTCAGGCAAATGACATAAATATGATGAAAACTGTCTTATCAGAGATCTTGTCACAAAACTAGGTTCTTTTAGTATCAATAAATGTACAAAATATAATGAGCATGCAGAGAGAAGATTGGCTGTGGAATTGGTAATGTTTTAATTCGTCGTGGACAACAATGCATCGATGCCTAATTCGGACTAGAACCTTCTTCCGTGAGTGCCCGAACTTCTTTTTTGCGTCAACTAGAATAGAGATGATAATTTTTCTAGTAACTTCGCAAGCTTTTACGACAGAACTAACTTCGAAATCGTGCCATTTCATCGACCAGGACGGAAATATCATCGGCGCTTAAATCCCTTTAATTTCAGATGTACACATCACAATTCCAAAGGGCAAATTCATCTTAGGACTCATGATCGCTAGAATACCGTGATGTTACGAGGCAAGATATTGTTGGATCAAGCCGAAATGAAGAGCTTTCGCAAATGTGATCAAACGTCTTGAGCTCCAACCTTATCGATGGCAGGAAGCGCGATCATTTTTCAAAACATCAGTGCTCTAGCGGGGCTGCAATGCCAAGGACTCGAGATGTTCTATGGAAAAGGGTTAGCGATAATCTAGGATGGTATTTGACTCCTGATACGGGTCTTGGTGGAGCTTATTCTTTTCTTTAAAGGACAATTGCGCTTAGGACTTTACTCGTGCCAAACAAGTCGTATCTTGTAATGCAATCGAGAAGGAAGCCATAAAATTGGAGAAAGGATAGAAGCGGGTGATTTTTGATCAAAGTCTCTGGTCAACTCCTGCATGGATGTCCTGTCCTTGATGACCATGAGGGAAGGCGAATGAACCCTGAGATTCTCTCATTTGCGCAATCATCTACCTCACATTGTCATTCATCTTTTTTACAGATGTTTTTCCCCATGAAAATCTCACAGACATTCTCTAAGCCATTGGCGTAGCTTAGTTGTTACGAAGTGGTTCGGAGGCTGGATCCCATCTTGCTGTTATTGAGACCAACGTCAAACAATCAGATTGACAAACACGCCATGTGCATTGCTACGACTCATGCACCGAAGATGGTATAACATCGTGTGCCGTCGCCTTGCATTTTTATTCTTCAATTTCTAACTCAGTAAGCCGAGGGCGGCACCGGTTCAAAGATCTGAGTACAAACAGTTAAAGTTCCATAATCCGCCCTAGGCGATCGCGTAGTCTTGAGATGTATATATTCGAATTCCCTTTGTTCCTCAATACTGTAACTTCTTTTATTCATGATTGCGAGCGATTCTTGAACTTCGCACTATTTATCATTTCGTATCTTGATCATCCATGATCCCACCACCCTTTCGGTGCCGAACTCCGTCCATTTTGGGTGAACACCCCAGCACAAGCATATCGGTAGTCCGGCTATATGCAACCTTTGGCACTATACCTATCTACGTGTCAATCATTCACAATAACCCCTCTATGTTCGGATCCCCATATCTGAGAAAGTCATTTCGCTTTGATGATGAACTTTCAATTTCTCAGCCTTCTCAACTCATTTTACTCACCGGCTCACCGCATGTTTATGTTTTATTTATCCATTCTACAGTCGCAGATCAGGATTGCTTATACATATGGATAACATGCAACTCCGTGCATGTATCAGGCAGCATATCCTTATTTTCTCATTCTTTTGACCTCTAGTACCTTCATATGACCATTGCACAGCCTCTATTCTCTTGTTTCGACTGCGAAACACTTCTTGCAATTTGAAAATAAGAGTTTCGCGACAAGATTCCGTCATAGGAAGTCCTCGAACTTGCCATGCTATCGTCCTTGAAAGCTATCGTTTCCTTGATATGCTAGGTCTTCGAATCCTTGGCAATTATCGGGCCAATTTGCAATCTCGGTTCCTCAGTACGGCTTGGAATCAAATTCTTGATGAGTGAGCTGTGGTGATGGTACGGGGCGCAGTGTCGTTATTCTTGTGTCACAAACGAGCAGAATATACTATGGTTCTGCCTGGATGCCCTCAAAACACCCCTTTGAGGTGGCATGTCGTCGGCCAACCATTGAATTTTGGATTCAAATCCATAAAACTTCGCCTCCTTATTAGCTTCACTGGCTTTATGTTTCCTGGAGACATACCATTGATTAACATGATCGCAAGATCTGTACCGCACATGGTCAGTCTCCAATTGTCTCATTGGCGTCGTCTTTTCTTATCTGCTTGATGCACCACCTACCCCTCAACACTACATATTGCTGAGGAGCCCCTCCCAAATCGCAACAAGCTTTTACGGGACCAGTGCGAGTTTTCTCTCCTGCCAGGCTCTTTAGAAACACACATTTCTCCCCAATAACGACCCGATTGTCCAGCTCTTATACTTATTCAGAAACGAACCTAGGCGCGTTCTTTTACTTCAAATATCACTTGTCTAATTATCACAAAATACCTATGCCGATTCCATCCAGGTTCCATTATATCAGCTCTCTACCCGCCGCGAATCCCACCGGTACCATTGCCCACTGCGAGGAGGTTATAGGATACTTTTCGAAGCTAGGACACGCAAGTAGCCTATACAAGACTGAAGGCACTGGCATGGACTTCGCGCAAGAATATTACAGCCATCCATCGGCTCAAATACCATTGCCAAAGAACAATGACAACAATGTTGGACACAAAGAGAGTTGCAATTCTGATGTAAAAGTCGAAACATATATATCTCCAAAGTCCAAGCATCCTTTTTATATTCATGGTGACGTGCCTCATGACTATTGGTCTCTACAAAATCTAGAATGGCCTTTACATAAAAGTTTACGCACTTCATTGCCTATTCGTTCCTTTCAAAACGATATGGCAAGCAGTGCATCTCCGGCCTTTCGGTCTCACGATTCAGGAGACGGTGCAAATCTAGTATCGAAATTCCAATCTTTCACACCTCCTCCTTCCGATCTTGAATCTTGTACGGATTCACTTCAAGGTGATTCTGAAGGTCGAATCGACACCAGAGTCTATCAAAAGTGGCAGTTAGCGAACAACTCGATTGCGGAAGTCAATTCAAACCGAAAAGCCTCTACGGTGGGTCAATTTAAAACCCAAAGCTTCTCACTAAGCTCATCTCCTTGTGGACCTGTAAAGTACGATCATTATGGTTCTTGCTCTGCCGTTTATTTCAGGCAAGACGGCTCTGAAAATTATCTGGCACAACCTCCTCAAGCACTTGCATCATATTATTCAATCATGAACGCGGCACCTTTGGGCATAGCACCAACCTCTTCAGGTACAAACAGATCGGATGTTTTGACTGTGCGCCCCACTGATCTGTGGAAAGAATCTCCTGAAGTCCTGGGCCCGCATTGGAGCGGGGCTATTCTGTCCAACAATTTGTCGCATCCATCGAATATGTCCGTTTCATGCCAAGAATCTCAAAGCTATAATGACGCAAATACTTCGAATGGGAACATATCCGCTTCGAGCTTTTATCCTTCTCATGCCTCTCAATTACCTTTTACTCAAATTGCGTATCAACAACATGGTTCCAATCACATAGATTCTCGTTCACCAACACCTTCTTTTCCCTCAAATGGCGTCCAAATTCAAGAAGAAGTTCATAATATGAGACGAAACAAAAGCTCAGACATTGATTATGTACGTACTGTAGCAATTGATCAACTCTGCCCGAGAAGCTTTCCAGGCGTATGTCTGCATCCTCAGTGTCAATGCAAGCGAACAAATAAGCCCAAGTTGTACAGTAGATACAAAGACTGGCAAGGCCATTTTAAACGTGCTCACCACAAGCAATATCTCTGCGGCTTACCGGGTTGTCCAGATAGCGAAAAGAGGTACGGCACAAAAGCAGAAGCCAAGCGTCATCGGCTCTCTGTTCACCATTTTGGTAAGGAAAATGCTAAACACTGGGACTGCCAGATCCCGACTTGTCAACGGAGTACCAAGGTGTTCACGAGAAGTGACAAGTACAAAGATCACCATGATAAATGGCATGGGCCATTCCCATGCCAGTATCAAGGCTGTGTAAGAGGGCTTGATCATGGATTCAAGGACCAAGATGCACTTGATAAGCATCGTCGAAAAGGGCATAGACGAGGCTGAGGTGCTTAGTTTTTGACCCTTTTGTGTATATATAAACCTGTATGAGTATATCAATCTGCTTTGCCTACCTAGCTGCGAATTCCAGATTTCTTTTCCTCGAAGTGTTTCCTGCTTTCCTTAGGGTACAATTGCATATGAATAGACTTTTTAATCTGGGGAAAATTCTGTGTGTATCGAAGCTATGATCTTACACCAGGGACAATACACCTTCAGGCGTTTACTGTATGTATTAGCAGGGAGACATACTTGAAAGTGCGTTCAATTTCTGCAGCTCTGGCTCTATCTCGCTACATACAACTTTTAACGAAAACTGAATGTGCGTGACTCCAAAATTCGAATCATCTTGCACGACTGTCTACTATTTCAGCCCCGTGAAAATAATTCGCATATTGATAAGAAGTCCGAAAGGCTCGCAGCCTCCCTATTCAGCACTTGATATCCCGTACCGTAGCACTCGGTAAGATTAGCGCCATCTCTCACCGGCCTTGCTGAAAGCGTCCTTAGACTGGGGTGTAAGCACGCCTATGTTAGTTGATTTTCTATATGTTTCCATCATGCGGCTTTTCACAAGTGCATTGGACAAAGATTCAATCGTTTTCGTAGTATTTTATGCCCCAAGCCTCATCAACCAGGACATGGATTCAGGACATGCTAGCGCCCTCTCTAGCCTCTGGTGGAATTTCAGGCTTAATCACTTTTAATTTTTAACGATACACTCATGCAATTACAGGGAGTATGACGCCCCATATGCAATATTAACAAATTTTGGAAAGAATGGCACGTTGACTGTAGGCTGGCCGGGCGAAATGTATGAAAGAGATTATGCCCCGTTTTAACGCGATAACGTTATTTGATTGCATGTCGCAAAGCTCCATTTTTGAGAAGTGTCGTTATCGAACACAATTGAGCCAAGAAATTGAGCTAAATGTTTGGGGCATTTCGTCTAGATCGCCCTGAGAAGGGCGAAAGGCCTAGTTTCGACAGATGTGGCCATCATTATATCGTTTGGTAATTGTTGGAGCCTTGGAGGACACTTGAAGTAGGCTATATTCTAGTTTCTATGCTTATTGGTGAGCCGTATTAGCCTCGGTACTACTCATCATCGCCGCCATGGTTTGCGTTCCTCCCTGTTGGGCGACTCTTTCTCAAGCACTGAGTATCCAGATGCTTCTATCCACCGAGTTGCTACGCCTTTCCAGCCCAATAAAATACGGCTTTTCGAAATATATATAAGGAATCTTGATGCTAACATAATATCACTTCTTCAGGGAAAATCATTGTTGACTCTGACACGGAGCGAGATGTTCTTGCCGCAAGTCTTTGTGTATTCTTCAACTCTCGTTTGGCTTTATGCATCTTCAAAGATACCCATAACATACACTTTCGCCTTAGAAGTCAGGTCATTCTGATTCTCGCCAGTGCTGAAACGGCAGATTTCTAAGAGTCTGTCCCCAGATTACGATACTGATTGGTGCGCTAGGCAGCTAATTGACTCAAGTATGGCTTGGACCGAAAAGACTCTGAGGGCTGTACAAACGGAAAGAGATATACCTATTGTCCGAAGATGATACAGATACAACTCCTGCACAATCTCTTACCACATATTGCAGTCCGTCTCTCGGTCCGTGTTTTTTGAAAAAACGATCATCCGAATGGGTCTACGTATATCCAGATGTGTGTCCTTTCCGGAATTTAATGTATAAGTAGCAACTTACTGTTTTGTCCAGAGTTTTGAATCATAGGCTAATCAATACACAGAAATCTTTTAGTGGGGAGAATTCGAATATTCCATTTCTTGTCGGTTGAGTTCAGGGGAAACGAGTCAGAATGGTACTGATATAGACTGCTTATGGTGAAATAACTGCAAAAAAAAGCAATACTAACCCTTTATTTTCGTTTCTTTCTGAGCTCGATGTGTTTCAAACCAGAGCCTTTTTAGGCTCAAGGCTGGCTATCTACTCTAGCGTTTTAGAGAGCCAAAATTTGGAGCAAAGCTCTCCCCTACTCCAGTTGGCTTATCTGCCTTATCTGTATTCCATTCAGTAGCTAGACTTGGACAGAATCTCAATATTACACAGTATTTCTAGAAAAGGGTTCCTCATCATACATTTTCTCCTATGTTATGAGCGATTTCCTGACAATCTGCCTTGCTTTTTGAGGCTTCTGCAATGCTCCAATCCAATAGACAAGGTATGTAGATTGCCCCAGAAGCTGCCCTATTTGCCCAAAGTATTCCCCATACCAAAGTCACGATCTTAATTGGAAGTACGAAGCACTGCTTCTTTCGGTGAGCTTAACTTACTTCAACTCACACTGTATGTTCGAAGAGCTTAATCCTCTTGGTATTATGCCCTTTGGTTACCCCAAAGATGCCCTAAATCTTCCACTTGGACCTTATGGAATATAGAATGGCCTTAATAGCTCGTCTTTCGTTGAACTAAAAGGAAGTATTTAGAATTATTCTTTCTTTGAATGACTGTGACAACATCCGGTGGTTTCTCAATTCTTGACTAAAGATAGCCAAAATGGGTGATCACGGCGACCAATTTACTAGTCCTTCTCAGGATGAAGAGTATATTGAAAACTATGACACTTTTACACCTACGATTACCGAAGCTACCATCTATCCTGAGTTCGCGGTATCTCAACCATATCCATGTGTGTACACCGACGAAGTTTTGCAGCTCGATAACCAAATTCAGCAACATAACTCCGAGTCTTCGCACTTTGTTCGCCCGACCATTTCGGCAGGCATCATGCCTCAGGGAATTTGGCAATCGGAGAATCATTACCAGCAACAGATCATTTACACACCTATATGCACACCCACGTACGCACCTGCTAGCGACATCCCTTTTGAGCAACTTGCAGTCAGTCATTTCCCGACTCATCAAACTACTACGCAAATCAATGCCTCGTATGATGCGGATGCGAGTTCAAACTTCTGGAGCCCGGGTGTCTGTCGGCAGGCAAGTTGCCTTGCAAAGCCTCTAGACAAGCAAAATAACTACCAAGAATACTCGGATTGGAGACGTCATTGGTTTCGGGTACATGAAAAGCAATACCAATGCCTGCTTGATGACGCCATGTTCGGAACGGCCAAAGATCTCGAGCGTCATGATGATGCTAAGCATCGAACGGGAGCCAAAAGACATTACTGTTACATTGCAGGATGCCAAGCTCGTGTGAGAGAGTTCAACAGGAAAGACAAGTTTAAAGAACATAACGACAGGTGGCATGGACCCTATTTCTGTCCAGTTCTTGACTGCGGTCGAGGAAATGGAAATGGATTCCAAAAAAATGGATCGTTGACGAAACATATGCGCACTTGCCATGGTTTGTGAGACTTCTTGTGAAAGATGGCCATGAGAGAAATGATTAATGACAGGTATGAAGACTTCTTTCAGATAAAGGGATGCATGGCTGACATCATATTTTCTATCTTAGAATTATATCTACGGGTCTATATATAAGGTGCCCCGGTGGCATAGCGCTAGGATTTTATTCCGTGATGGTTGATGAGGATCTCGTCACTGGCGACGGTTTTGGTTGTGTTGAAATGAGCTTTTTGTGTTATATTATAGGGAATCGTGTTTGTTGCTGACCATATCAAAATTGTACACGATGTTTAGATATCGGTCTTTTGGATTTCTCGTTGAATTATTTCGGTGGACATTGTTATTCTCTCAAACAATTACATATATAATCCTTCTCATGTATCTCCAAGATGATGTCCATCATGTCGTGAAGATTAACAGGCCCCGCCAAGAAAGCTTGTTTGCTAGGCCATTGTGTAGGGCTTCTGGCGATGACTAAACCCTAGCAGGATTTCGGGATATCAGCAGATGTTTCGAGCAGTGACCTGGTGGACGATGTATAGTGGATCAATCAAGGTATCCGACGGTACTAATAATATAATGGGACCCTACCCAGTATATGGTTCCTGAAGAGAAGCTCTTGCGGTAATATTGGTAGTGGGTTTATGTTACATTCCATATTATCGGTAAACAGCGTCAGTTCTAGACCTCAAACAGGAGAAAATTGTGTATTGGGATTGGTGACGCAGGAGACGTCGTAACAACAAAAATCGACTTATATACGGAAGACGATACTATGTCGTTGGCATTGAAACAAAAGGACAAACCTGTAGTCTTGGCAGAATAATGAGAGTAAACAAGTATACTTCAAACTTTGTCTGCCCCAAAACTTCAGATATCTGTCCGAATCATGCTGCAACACAAACTTCAATACAACCTAGATAGGCCCACGTACAAACCTTGTGAAGCCGATAAGCCACTCATGTTAATTCATTGAGTTGTCGCTCAGAATATACTTAGGTAATGTAGATTGGTGATTTTGGGAGAACTGGTGGTCCGAGACCTACTGATTGCACCTGCTAATGTAGTGCAAAAAGTAAAACTCGCGCTAGTAATTGACCTCATCCGCATCTCGAGTTTACAATATTGACGCCAGCAACACTCTGGGCACTTGCACAGCTCTCGCAGCCGCCATAATTTGGTGAATGTGTGCAAATAGTTGATTTCTTTCGCATAACTCAATATCAATTTCTCAGACGAATTGCCAGGGTTCAAAATTTCCGAGTTGCGTGTTACTTCCCCCTGCGCTGGCCAGGGTCTAGTATGATGGCTGCTGCTGGATAAAGAATTGCCTCTGGCTTCACTGACATTGATTACAATGCCTGTATAGGGCATTTTTCAGTTGCTGCGATCAGTGTCGCAGTAGTGTCAACGATCTCTGTGCTTCACACCGTTTGGGTGCTTGTGCTAGGCACGAATTTTTTGAATTTTTTGACATTTCGGGAACAAACTTCGCACCTAGCATACATTCCATTTGCCCAGATCAACTTAGACGATAGAAATTATATGCCTGGCCGATTAGAATTCACTTTATCGGACGTCTTGGATTCACTGAAAACCGAATTGCGTTGTTGCTTATGGGGAAGCACAACTTTTTATGCGTGGCTGACCTGTAAGCTCGGTGACCTAATCCTCATATAATCGCCCAAGGCGCTTTAAAACCGTGAGACAGAGAACAAAGTATGTTTCTTGAAGTTTCGCAGTACCATCTCGCCGCAAATGTATTCGCCCCAGGCGATTCAAAGAAATGAATATAGAAAGGTAGAAAATCCGCTCGTCTAGAATTGAAATGCTTCAAAACTGTCGATTATTATTGACCTCAGTCTCAAGAGTTAGAGAAGACGGATCAATTCGTAATACGCGAGCTTATCAATGGCATCGGTATTGCCAGTATCTCAGATTTGGACTCAACTAATAACCTGGGTCCATTGCCGAATCGATCGGTCGCTACAGAACTACATTCAAGGACAGTTTCCTTCAAATCGCAACGCGAATTCTTGTCATTTGACAAATTTGCCCACGAATGCCCATCATGTAGAATTACTCCAACACTTATGCACCAGCAATCACAGGGAAAACACCCTCATTCAATATGCATCAACCCATTCACTACTCCTTACAATGACTGGTTCTGATTCAAGCTTCATTAGGCCGGCGAGGAGAAAGCTACAATGCAGGAGGTATCTTCTACGATTTCCCTACGTCAGCCTCGTCATATCCTAGGATGTGCACTGGATTTTTGAGATGTACTTTATTTTAGGAGTATTTTCTATTCTATAGATGCAAATTATCGATTCCATTCTAGTTCTAGCGTCTGTCTTGTTCCATTTGATTCATTGAAGTTGCTAGATCATGCTTTATCCCGCCAGCAAATTTTTATCTTCAATGTTCCATCCTCATGACCATCAGCCTTCCCTACCAATTTCCGATAAGACGTCTTTTCTTTCTATGTTCTTCTGCCATTTTTCCCCTTGTACACATTTTGCACTGCCTAACGCTGAGAATCTTCACTATTCTCGGGATGAAAACTGCATTGACCGACTTTTAATCTGCGAGGCCCCAATTGCCCGGCTTCAGGCTACCAATTAACACCAGTCGCTGTTCAACTGAGGCGTATAGGGATGGGTTGAAGCTTTCACATTGCCTTCTAACTACAAAGTCACCCACAGCCGTAATGCCCTCTCCTCCATAGTATAATGCTCAGCCATACTTGCCCATCATCTAAAAAGCCAACATGATGTGTATAAAAATCTTTCTATTGCCTATATGATATCCATAAATAACATGTCAAGTATCTGTAAGGAATCTGAGGCCCGTCACAAATCTGTGTTTTCTCATTTTAATTTGGAAGCACACCTAGTATGACAAGCTCTGCACAAATCTTCACATTCTTCAGTCAATAAGAACTATAAGCTCTCGGTGAGTTTTCTCAATGAATGCTATTTATTTTGGGCATTTGAAAGTTGTGTCTTTACTGATGGTGAATTTCCGCAAACGTAGATATTCATTCAAGGGTGCTGAAAACTGTTTGCGAATCATTACCTCTGTTTGACAAGTCGCCCATGCTATTAATTCCACGATTTGTTTGGAAAGATCGCCTAAGGTACCATAAAGAGTCATACTGTGTAGGATGTGCCGCTTCAGGGAAGACCAATGCTGTTGTCAGCATGTCAATCGGGATTTACCTCACGAACCTGGTTACGTGACCACCAACTACATTCTTCCCTCTTATGGCTGTTCAAACTTAACCCATGAGGCCTATAATATCAATCTCTCCCATTATTCTCAGTCAGGAGAAGCGAGTCCCATTGGAAGCGAATCCACACACCAACTTCAAGAGCCAGACATCGCCTATTTCAATGGTTACGCACCACCAACTCAATCATTCTACACTTCAACTGAAAAATTACATGATTCCCCGTCTCTCTCTCCCTATCCAGGAGCCTTCACCAACAATGCGCGTTCACATGGATTAAGTGTTGGGTCGATTAAACAAAGCCATTTAGGCAATGAAGCAATTCAATCCAGCATTGCAAAGCCAGGGCAGTCAATTGAGCCAGGACTAGGATGGTCAGGCTTGGGGAATCCAGATGCGCAACGCTCGCTCAATATTACACACCCCTCAAGCATCAATCTCGCTTTGATGAAAAGCTCGCAAGCATTTCCACCTAGTGGATGTGATTTATCAGAATATGCAAACAACTTGAAGCAAGATCAAAGTCAGCAGAACAACTTTGTGGCCTCAGTAAATGAAGGAGTACAAGTCGCTCCAGAAGATAATAGCCGAATAAACCAGGCAGACATTGTTCTGAGAGTTCCTAGGCCTTCTGACACATCGGAGGCTCATTATCTTTTTGTCAATAGGGCCCCATCTCAATATTCCTCTTCATATTCGAACCATAATTCTCAAATCCAGGAACCTTTTACCGTAGTCGCCACAAATCAACAGCCAGCAGATTTGGACAACCAAAACCAATACTCACCATCAGGCGCTATAAGCGATACGCGTCAGTTTCCTTACAAGTGTCCATATGAAAAATGCAAGAGCAAGGACAAAAAGATTTTTACAGGGTATTCTGACTGGCAAGCCCACTGGTATAGAGCGCATGAAAAGCGATTCTCGTGCTCAATGTGCAATGCAATATTCGGCACAGATGCGGAAGTCAGGCGTCACTCGACGGCTATTCATCCCAATGGCCCTAAGGAATTTACTTGCAAGGTCCGACGTTGTGCTGGCCGCTCGCAGGAGTTCAACAGAAAGCATCGCTTGAAGGAACACATGGAGAAATGGCACGGCTATTACTACTGTTCTGCTATGTATTGTTCTCGGGGGCCTGGGCACGGTTTCAAGCATCAGACATTACTGAATGAACACCTAATCAAATCCCACGGTCATGGCGGATTTAGGTAAACATGTCGTCAGAAGTTTCAAGAGGCAGTGAACTTTAAAATTGACCTTTCATTGCGGAAAGAGATCAATGATGTCAAGTATCGGGCTCATACGAAATTGAAAAAACGGTACGAAATCACAGCACCACACCCTCATGAATGTTGCTAAAACTGTTTAGATTTATCTAAGTCAAACCGCAGCCTAGCCTCAACTCACGATATGAGGAACAAGATCGGATGAGTGGGTAAATAACTCGTGTTAGTCGATGTCATTATTTCGAAAGTCGGGATCGACACCGATGTCGACACCACTCAGACATTCAAATGTGCCATTGAATTAATCTCTTGCGAGAATGAAATTTGCATTAGATATTCACATACTATTTGACGAGTTTATGATGGATTATGATTAATAATTTCTTAATGATGGATTGGAAGCTTTTGGTCTTTGGTTTCTAATGTTTTGAACTTCTATGTAACTGGTTCTTTTAAATTACAAAATCTTTATTCTATTCATATCCAATCCACCTCTACCAGACTGAGAAGTTATTACGCAAAGAACGCGGCTCCAACTATTCAGTGTGGTGTGTTAGTGTAAACACGGTAAACTATGATTTACTAAGATGACTTAGATGGGGCTGGAGCAACCACTTAATCGATCCGAATTCTGAGAGTTGGCAAGTAGCCCAAATATTTAAACCCATAACTTTCCCCCTTAGCAAAACTGTTCAAGATGCAGAAAAGTTATTCATTTCTTCTTACCTTTCAGCAATTCCTCACTTGTGGCCGAGTAAAGAGCCCCCCATCGAGATTAAAAGCCGAAGATTCTGCCTCGAAGATTACCTTGAGAGCCACACAGCCATGACTCGAAGAAATTTTGATCAATCAAATTGCGACAATTCGGGACACGAATCAGCCTCGCATCGCACATACAGCACTTACAGTAGTGCATACAGCGATGGACAATGCCCCAATTCCGCCAAAGTTCCAAGGTCCTGCTTCGACAATGATGTACACGGCAACGTCGTATTGAGAGACTTTACCAGCAGTTTGCCGGATCTTATCGAATTAGATTGTGCCTACTCAAATCGGGGCATTGCTCAAATTTTGTGAGTGACCACTCCCCGAAGGACGAGCCTTGTTGTGCTGACAGGGCATTTTCGCTAGTCCCAATGAGGAATGGTTCCCGAATGCCCCAAACCTCCCCTCTTCCTCAGCCGATTGCGAATTTTCGGTGTCTAATTTTACATGCGATCCCACAATCCAAAGTTCGTTTGTTCCAACGATTTGCGATTCTCAAATATTTGAGGATTTTGATTTTGACGATTCTTGGTTGGCTGGCGACATTTCTTCACCATCGCTTCCTTATGATGAACAATTTCAATTTTGTAGCCAGACGTCGAGTTGCAAGAACCTGTCAAACATCTCAACAGGTGCTGGAACATCGGTTCAAGGTAGCAAGTATGCTGAATTTTTGGAGTCTAATTTCTGCGGACCAGCTCAGTGCCCTTGGGTCGAATGTACTTCAAGGGCAACATTTGCCACGCTTAAAGCTTTCAGCAAACATTTAAAGAATATACATTTGAGGCCCTTAGTCTGTGACCATGATGGTTGTGGCTATCAGAAACCATTTAGAAATAAGTATGACTTGGAACGGCACCGCCAAACTGCACACGTTCGTGCACGTAATCACGAGTGTCCTTTTTTGCACTGTGGAAACATCGGGTTCGCCCGCAAAGACAAACTATGGGTTCACATCCGGGAGTGTCATGATAAACCATCTACTGTCAGTACGTGTCCTGTAATTCACTGCGGGAAAGAAGTCAAGACGCCTGTTTCCGAGCACATACAGAAAGAACACGGAAGTTTTGAATGCGGGTTGAGCACGTGTGGAACAAAGCAAAGTCGCTTCACGGATATTCAACTCGAAAGTCATTTGAGAAGCGCGCATGGGTTGAATTTTGGGGAAGCTTCGAAAGCTGTTGGGGCGGCCAAGAAAGCTTCAGATAAAACGATACGAATAAGGGAGCTCTACACAAAATCAGAGATCAGAGAATGTGCCATTTGCAGTCCCTGAATGTTTGTTCGACTGGATATACAGTATATGGTGATACGTTTAGGGGTGGTGCACACTGTAAATGCAGGAGACAAGATTTTATATGGGCACGAATGTGTTTATTTCATGCATCGATTTACTAGGGCTTCTTATATCTGATCACTTTCTCATATTATAGACGACGAAGGCGCAAGGGGCGATGTTCAGCGATAGTTTTACAATTCTGCTTATATCCATAGCTTATCACATCTCAACTTTCCCAAAACTTCCCCCGTACAAAGGACCCAAATATCGGGCAATTTAGCACAGTCTTCAAGAAGATTTTACCTTATTTCTTGATAACTTGTATCTTGTGAATTTCACACTGGATCTGTAGATACCAGAAGAGCTTTTGACATCATGCAAAAGTTTGCGACCTGTCTGCAACGGGTCTCTTAGTAGTAGGTCCGCCAGTTGTTCTCCCATCCGAAGATTTCTTTTCTGAAGAGTTCTTAACATCACTATGCTTGGTAAGTTTGTCCCTAAAGTCGCTCTGCTTGGAAGGTGCGACCTTGGAATCACTCTTACGGGAAATTTTGTCGCTAGAATCACTCCGCTTGGGAGGTATATTTTTGGAGTCACTTTGGCTAGGAAGTTTGTCCCTGAAACCAGGCTGTCTGAGAGGTCTTACCTTGGAATCTCTCTTTCTGGAAACCCTTTCCCCGGAACTACTCTGCCTAGGAAGTTTGTCCTTAGAACTACCTTGGCTGTGAGGTTTGATCTCCCCACGCTTTCCTTCGGTTTTGCTAGTGTCGGAATCTCTACTCTCCGGGTTCTTCTGCAGCACTTTTGGTGCACTCATAGACCCATTCACAGGTGCAGAAGCCGTTCTGGTTGGCTTTGGCTTTCTCTTATTGAGATCATATGCCCAAATGAATTCGTCTTCCTCATTTAGCACGGGTCTACCACTCGTCGGGCAACACAGCATATGATCCTTTCTCTTGGAATCATATAGCCATCCTTTCGTAGGATCCACTATCACATCAGTCGAAGATGGAAGCTTGAAGTCCACATTTAAGCCCCTAATCTCGTGAGCAAGCCTAAATATGTCGTCTCTGAGCCCCTGCTTCGCAAAACCGGATATCCAACTGTCATAGCCTGTGTAAGTTTTTTTATTTATCCGAATTTTTGAGCAAACTTCAAAAAGTTTCAATTTCGCCGATACCTCATTGTCGGTACTGTACAGCACCCCCAGAGTTTCTTTAATCCTAATTTCGTTGAATCGTACACGAATAGGGCGATGAGCCATATCGGCATAATAACGAATGTTCTCGGTATCTCGAGATCTAATTACAGAGGCCTTCTTCCCTCTCTTTTGACCAGGTTGTTCTTTTAAGCATTCATAGAACCATACATAATCCTCGGCCTCAGTACACATAGTGACTTCGTTCGTCACAGGATCCCTAACCCTTTCAGCGCTATGGACGAGCTTAAATGCGAAAGGTGCGCATATTTCAACCAGTTCGTCGTCTACTGTTAAAACGGGTTCTATGGCGTGTTTCCCAAGATCAAGAACAAGAACTTTTGAAGTCTCTATAATCGTGGGCCCCATGTTGTATCAATCGAGATGTGTATAAATGGTAAGCTAGTTGTGGCTCGGTTTATCCAGTTACTGACGTATCAATTCTAAACCCGTACTCATCGAAAGAGTGTAGGGGATGTTTAAATATACACTCTCACGGCCTTTCTCTGATCGACATGTTGCAAAAAATTCATGCTTGTAACACAAACAAGGTCGACTATGCGGGGATTCCCCAAATTTCTATCTTGGGAGGTCATTCTTAAGGCCATAGAAAATGCTTCTTTATCGTACCACAAATCCGGAAACAAAGACACGGAAAGAAAGTGACGTTGTAGAAACTTCTAACCTATCATAAGCCTTCAAAAAAGATTCTTGTAACGTTATCTGATATTCGTGTGTTGGGGTCTAGGTTAAGCAAGCACCAGGCGCTTGCCAACGAAAATTGAACCAACTTTGGGGGCCATTCAGCAAAGATCTAGGATCTAGATCAATGGAAAGGCGCAATAAGTTCTGAAACAATAGCATGAAGAATGACGGTAATAAAATGATGATAGCAGTGGTTCTTGTTTGTTGTGATGGCCGCGGGTTATCACAAATAAGCGCTACAGCTCATCTCGGTGTTAACATATGCTGTTCAACATCTCATAAACTTAAACGAGATAATTTTCAAAGTAAAAGTAAAATGCGACGACGAGAATGTTTGGATTTTCGCTAGTGGTAAATATTCATCTGCATATCAAACCTGAAGTATCGACGTCTGTAAGACTTGCTACGGGCCTCGAAAACACGCGCGAACCTATGAAGGCGAGTATGAGATGGACTACTGACTACTATCATCTGCAAAATCGCATTCATGTGGTATTTGCAGGTCGCATGAATGAAAGTGTCATATAAATTCAACTCGCTGGATACAAGACACAAAAGTACGCGTGCACTCCCTCAAACTTTCTACATTTCGTTGAATAATACAAGCCCAAACCAAATTAAACGGAGCGAAAGGCTGGGTCTATTTCTGCGTTTGAGAAGCTGAAGCACAGTGCCTTTTTCTCAATTGCGATGTTGAGATATCTGGTTCAGACAAACAAACTAGACACAATCTTTCGATGTCTCACAGTATCTAGATTGAATGAAAAAATGCAATCCAACATTCAGCAGGTGCCAGAGGTAGGCAATGAATTCTCGATCCCGTTTCGAACTTACGCTCACTGCCTTATACTTACAGCAACTCACAAGCAGATTGAAACAGACACCAGCCCATCACACGCACATAGTCTCACTACACTACCTCGCTCCCCTCGGCACACGTAAAGCCCCGCGAACAGTCTCAGTTATATCGTTGCTTGTACCATTTCCCCCCCCCCCCCCAAAAAAAACCTGACCAAGTCATCATCACAGATGCTAACTATCCAATAACATCGTCTATAAATATCAAAAGTCCCAAAAAAATCCAAAAACAAGAGTCCGTTTAACACTGCATTGCATTCAAGATGGATTGCGCGATTAAAGCGTTCAAACCGACGATATACATTTCCTTGGTAGCGAGTCAGAACCGCCGTATCTTCTGTATCAAAATCACTCTTGTAACATCAAAGTCACTTTACTTTGCTCGACCAAACGGGATCTTCAACAGTTCAAAGTCCAATGCCTCTCCCTACGCAAACCAAAAAATCGCCCAAATTAGTAAAGATCGAACAGAAGTTCATCCGATACCGGGTACTCATTTTCGAGAGGATCTTTTTGACATTATGCTAGATTGAGATATCGATGGCCTGTGTCATCGCTTCAACCGGTATACGCATGATTTTCTCGCCCGTCTTAGATTCAAATGTACGACGGTACTCCCATCAGTGCAGGAATACCCTAGAGTTTGCACGGCTTTACCAAATGTGAGCGTCGCCCAAATATCTTTAATCTCTTGAATCTCTTTCTAACGCATCATTCTTCACTTTCCATCTTTCTTTCTATTTTCTTCTTCTTCGAGAAAGACATACCATTTAAATCCGCCATTGCTAGTGCACCGGGCAGCTCCTGTGTGAAAAAGTTTCTGTGGAGTTGTCCGTGAGAGGAGGTCTACTCAACCTCTGCTCCAGCCTCTTCGCTCCCTGGTCTCTGCCATCAAGTCTACATACATATGTCCCGGCAAGCGTGGACAGAGATACCTCGGGTGTGGTAACACCAACAGTGGGGTTACCATATTGCGTAAAATAAGTTTGATATAGAATGCGTTTGTCCTGTCGTGTTGCATAAAAGGCCAAGTCACTGGACTGATGCACCTTTAATTACTGACTCCCTGAAAGCACGGCTCAGCTATGTAAGTCAATGGCGTCTTTCCGAGAAAAGGTGAATGTTCTACATATAGCAAACAAAACTATTTACCACCTGAGTGCTGTGTTCCATGTGATGCAGTGACATTCAACAGCTCAAAGGTTAACAAGCTGATGGCTTTCACCCAACCGTCATTAATGTAGCGCCGTGTCTATGAAACGCTTTCAGCCATATATTGAAAGTAGCTTTGAGTCTTCTGGGTCTTTAAAATATCATTTATTCTATCGTACGATATTTCTTAAAAGCTTCATCAATCCACATATATTATTCACAAACACATCATCGACATGGTTGCTCCATGAACTCTATGACAACCAACTCTCACAGAAGTAACTCAACCACCACGTCTTTCCAATCAACATTCCACGCCTGCTGGTAAACACACATCCCCAGCATTCAACATCATCGAAGCATACATAAACGCAGCAGACTGCTGAATAGCCCCGAGAATCCCCGCCTGTCCCAACACAGCCTCAGCAGTGGTGAACGACGGCATATCTAACGGTCCTCTGGTCCGCGCTAGTTTCACAGCGACTTCGTAGATAGCCTTTTGACGAGGTGTCACACTTGACGGACAGTCTCCCGCTAGCATGGCTCCAACTTGTGAGGCTGTGAGGCCTGCTTTCTCAGCCAAGATCTTGTGCGCGTAAATTCCATATGTCGCTTTGGTGACTGATAAAATGCCGAGAACAGCACATTCAGCTTCGCTTGGGACTAGCAGGCCAGCCACGGCTAATTGCAGATTTACCCAAGGCTGTACAACCGTTGGCGTGTAACTGGTTTCCATATTAATTTGGGTATTTAATCAAAGCATTTCCAGGACAATACGAACAGCAACATGTTGAAGGGTCCTTGAAGTGATCCATCTGCGTCTTCTGTGACAATAGTATTTTTGTACACAGCCTTTGTGATATTTGCCAGATAATTGTATTGAACAAGTTGAGCCTCATCGAGATTATCACTTGACGGCGTGAGAGGGGGAAATCTGATGGCTCCTGTACAAGATGGAGATGTCATATTGCGGGATCGAGACGAAGCGGAACGGGGTATTTTAACGGATACGCCAAGAACTGAGGATACGCAAAGTGTATGATTGAAAGCAATACTCACATATTTTACTGGAACAAGCCAATATGTCGAAAGAGGGGGGTTATATAGACTAGAAGTAGAGAGAGAAATCTGACATGTACATAAGAAATAATTGAAGCATGGAGATCACATGTGCATACAAGTAGATAAAGAAATTGCATTGTGATTCGGTGGTCAAATAGAATCACCCCTGTTCAATATGTGCGGTCGCGGCGCAGGATCACTAGCAAATCTTTAAAAAGCTCCACATCTGATATAAGGATGCTGTCGTAATACACTGCACTAGTATGTCATGAACTCTTTAGGTCTATAAATGAGCCCAGGGGTTAGCTAAGCTGATAACGACTGTGTCAAATCGACCTCGGCTAGCATGAGATACATATTGTACCAAATACTAGAGCAACATAATTGCATTATATACAGCTATTGAATGAGAAACTAATCTTTGTGGCATTGAATGCATGATTGTTCTCAATTTTTTCATGATGGCTCACTTCAATCCAGGGGGGAAGCGTATCACTAACTTCCATCCCAGCCAATCGTACCGCCCTCGAGGCTTAAAATTAAAAAAAAACGCAGAGGGTATCGAACTTTTCCTTCAAAACAAAACACTCAAATTCATCACATCTCATATATTATCAAGGATATTTTTTCCTCCTTAATTGTGTGTAACATCCCCACTTAGATATATGCAATGCTAATGTATCACATGCTGTGTATAGTACAGCCAATACAAGCGCAGTCATCGCCACAGGGACAAGTGTCCTTCTCCCCAGGGCAAGGGATATCTGGAACGCGATGAATAGTGCAGCCTAAACATTGGCAATCATCACCGCAGGGGCAGCTTTGAGTTTCTCCTCCACAGCCATCTTCCGCGTTGAAGGGATAATTTACGAAAAAGAAATCCGACGCCGAAAGGCTCTGCTCTTCTACAGTTCCGGAAGTAGTACTAGACGGAGTAGCAGGAGGCGGAGAAGTAGGGCTCTCCTTGATAATATCCTGTGTCTGGATGGAAGTAGGTGCAATATTCCCATTCGAGTTGATACGCCCATGTGAGTGACCATTGCTGTACAGGTCCGGTTCGACCCGCATCGATTCCCAAGCTGAAAGGACGTATTGTCTTGTCGCATCGTTGTATGGATGAGCTGCACAGCCAACACATTGGCAGCCATCACCACAACCACATGTATGAACGGTTTCGGGATTTTGGGCCATTTGAGTTGGATCAAATGTCAAAGGCGCGTTAGGAATAGAAGGTTGTCCTTGAACATGTCCGTAACTCATATCGTGGACACCTTGGCGCCAGGCGGATGGCTGTAGCGGGTTTTGATAAGAACCATATGTAGCAGGGTATGTAAATACGGTAGGTGGGTATTGTGAATATATGGCATTATTCATGGGAAATCCATTTTGTGGTATTTGTGGGTTCATCATGGGAGTATTTGTTTGGGAGTTTTGAGTCGATGAAGGCTTCTTCTTTGAAGAACAACAACTTTTAGGTTTAGGTGTAGCTTGCGGAGGTTCTGACATCGTACTGGCATTCGAAGAAGTGTGACTGTGGGTATTATGTTTGGGCGCACAGCATGAACCACTACTCGTAGCGACATTATCGATAT